AAAAATAAAAATATTATTATTTTTTCAAAACCATATAAAATTATATTATATTAATAAAGACATAATAAAAATTAAATATTAAAATAAAAATTTATTTCATGAGTATGGCTCCAATAAATATTTAATATATTAGTTTTTAGATAACATGCATTTTGATTCTCTTTTTTATTTGTTGGGAAGGAGCACAAGAAAGAAATGTTTACTTGATGGGACATTCACATTACCCCCTTATACTATCCATCTATTGCTACTTCAACCTCTCAACAATACAAAACATTCATTCTTTGCTCTAATAATTATTACTGAATAAACTAAATGTCTGATAAAAGAAAATTTAAAAAATATATTATCTGTTAACTGTAAACATCATTCATGATCTTTTTCACCAAGCTCAAATATATACAATAATACAGACAAATATGTAAACAAACATCTCAGTTACAGAAAATCTGTATCATGATCCAAACAAATTGGTCCATGATTCGTTCAAAACTGAATCTTGATTTTATACCAAAATCAAATCATCAAACATGGTCCAGCTTTTTGTTTAGTTTAGTTTTTTTTAATCGTTTATTAAATGTTTATATTTTAATTGATATAACCGTACATACATTAATGTAAAAATGGTAGTAGAAGTCATCGGTGTTTAATCATTTATTATTGAACATAAATATAATTAGTGGTAGAGTATCATTATCAACTAATAAAGGCCACCTCTTCAGAAAATACTAAAAGGTGGTCCTTATTCGTAATAAATCAACATAAACAGGGCCACATCGGAAAAAGTTATTTTACAGGGACCGATAAGGAAAAGTTTTTTTCCCGCCGTTTGTTTTACTGCCCGCCGTCACTTTTGGTAACCCAAATCCACGGGGCAATTGTGTGTGTGAGCTGTCTTTATAACATTGCCTTCTCTTCAACAAATTACATACAGACTATATAGTCTATAGATACATGTATATATAGAGAGAGAGGGAGAGTAGAGAAATCTAGAGAAAGAGAGAGAGGGGAATGAGAAAGGCGATGGATATCCATGGCTCTTCTTTCTCAAGCTTCAGGTCCTACCTAAATGCCCTTCGCGACACTCCTCGCCGGCTCGCTCGTCGTGCCGGATCCGTCTCCACCACCTTTGAGGAAACAAGCCGTGTCCGATTCCACTACGGTGGCAACATGAGGAAGACTCTACGATGGTACGATCTAATCTGCTTTGGTGTCGGGGGTATGGTCGGCGCCGGCGTATTCGTCACCACAGGAACTGCTAGCCACGACAAGGCTGGCCCCGCCGTTGTCCTCTCCTACGCCATTGCCGGATTTTGCGCCTTACTTTCCGCTTTCTGTTACACCGAGTTTTCCGTCCACATGCCTGTCGCTGGCGGTGCCTTTAGCTACATCCGCGTTACTTTTGGTTCGTTTGCTTCCTTCCATTGAACTAGAGTCACGCATCCTATTAATTTGCTTTAAACAGACCATCGCATTTGTGTAATTTGGTCGTGGTGATCGATTTTTTTTTCTCAGGTGAGTTCATGGCATTTTTAACCGGAGCGAATCTGATAATGGATTACGTTTTCTCCAACGCCGCCGTTGCGAGAAGCTTTACGACCTACCTCGGAACAGCCATTGGTGTTTCTGCAGAATCCAAATGGAGAATAACCATATCCTCTCTACCAAAAGGTTTCAACGAAATCGATTTCATTGCAGTCCTTGTCATATCAATCCTCACCGTCATCATCTGTTACAGGTTCTTAATCCAACATTTCCATATCAAATTGTAATCACCAACAATCCAATCCATTCACCCAACCCTAACAATTTCGGTTTTGATTACAGCACGAGAGAAAGCTCTGTGTTGAACATGCTTTTGACTGCACTTCACATCCTGTTCATAATGTTTGTAATCATAATGGGGTTTTGGAGAGGAGACTCAAACAACTTCACTAAGCCATCCGACCCGAGCCATCCGAGTGGGTTCTTCCCATTCGGAGCCACAGGAGTTTTCAATGGCGCTGCTCTGGTTTACCTGAGTTACATTGGATATGACGCTGTGTCAACGCTGGCGGAGGAGGTTAAAAATCCGGCGACTGATATCCCTATTGGGGTTTCGGGATCCGTTATCCTGGTCACCATCCTCTACTGTTTGATGGCCACTTCGATGTCGATGCTTCTTCCTTATGATCTGGTATGCATTTACTTTGCACAAAATGATTGATTATTAATACTAATTAATTACAATAATAAAGTATGAATTCTTTGAACATGTATGGTTTCTTGTGGTGGATGGTCTCCTCACCACCGCTTCGTTTGCATGCCACACGTATTAAAGCATCTTCTCCAAATACAGTAAAAAATGGTATACAGTTGTTAATGGATGCAAGAAATTAGAGCTTTTAGATGTAAGATTTAGCGGGGGCTTGATTGATATTGTAAGAGCATCTTTGATGTTGGTTATTAAACCTGGTGGATCAGTTCATAAATTTTTGTATCAGTCAAGGAATTGGTATATGCCAACGTGAGAATGGGAAATATTCATAAATATGAACCGGTTATTTTGATTCATACTTTTTACGTTTTTAATGCATGAAATAACCTGATTTTTATTGTCGTAATATATATTTTTATAGACTTTTTTTAATTTAATTTAAATTAAGTTTTATTTCTTTTCAGGCACGTTTTCTTGTAAGGTCTATTTTTGTTATTCTGATCAATAATTGATATAAAATCAAAATGGTGTCTTTGTTTGGGATAAAGGGAAATAATAGATATAATTTGTTTAAATTAAATTCAAATTTTTAATATTGATGAAAGCCATGTTTTAATATTAAGAACAAAAGCAAAAGATTTGACTTAAAAAAGAAATTGAAATTGGTTGCTTTTTGGTAAAGGGATTGTTAGAAGCACCATCTTTGGAATGGAAATTTACTTTTAGAATTATAGTAATTTTTTTATAAGAGTAGCATATGTGATATTTAGATAAGTACTTGGTATTTTTTTATTATAAAGTATGTTATAATCGCTATTCTACAAGCGGGCCCATTACATATGAAGGTAACCTTATATTGCGTGAAAGTATGTGAAGGTGATCGTTCTCACAGAAACTAGTGAAGGACACATTCAGGTCCTATCGCTTTCACCAGTTTCACAAATATAACGTGATGTTAATATAATGTAAGGCTACCTTCGTCACTTCTCACAAAAAAATAATTTTTCTCGTATGATTGCCAAGTCATGTAGCTTTATAGTAGTGTGCCTTGAGATGCATCTTGTAGAGCAACAATAGTATCATTGATTAGAGAGGTTTTCTATTTCAGATAAAGCCGGATGCACCCTTTTCAGGGGCGTTTGTAGGGAAATCAAATCGATGGAATTGGGTGTCCAATGTGATAGGTGTTGGAGCCAGCTTTGGGATCCTGACATCACTGTTAGTAGCTTTGTTGGGGCAGGCTCGATATCTGTGTGTGATTGGCCGATCACACATTGTCCCTGTATGGTTTGCCAAGGTCCATCCGAAAACGTCTACGCCTGTGAACGCCTCTGTTTTTCTTGGTAAGTTTTTATTCCGAGATCCTGCATGAACATCTTTAGTATGTTTCATATCCAAAAAACTTGTTTTCTTGATGTTTCTTTCATATAAACCTCAAATCCTGTCCTTAATCCAGGTTACTTTTATTAGTAATGGCAAATGGAGACTTTTTACCCATAAAACCATGTTCTTAAGTGGTATTTTTCTCAGAGAAATCTTATCCTATTCCTGTGTTGGAAGACCAATCTGCAGCATGATATGGTTTTTTTGGTATTTTTTAGTATCGTTGATGGGATTGAAAGATTTTAATAATATCTAAGTGCTAGAAGCAGATTGACTTTGACTTTGACTTTGGCTTTGACCATGACCATAATATGTGTTCCAATCTGTTTTTTTAAACTCATTGCTGATATTGGTGAAAAGGGCCCATTAGAAACACAAATGGTGTGATGCTTGAAGCAATCAACTTGTTCATGATGTAATTTAACCATGGATTTTCAGGGATTTTCACGGCGGCAATCGCTCTTTTCACGGAGCTAGATGTCCTTCTCAACCTTGTCTCCATAGGCACCCTCTTCGTCTTCTATATGGTCGCCAATGCAGTCATCTACAGGCGTTATGTCTCAGCCGAAACCACCAGCGGATGGCCCACATTGTCCTTCCTGTTGTGCTTCTCATGCACTTCCATCATATTCACCTTACTATGGTGGCTGTTGTCGGCTGGTAAGCCAAAGGTGTTCATGCTGGCGGCCTGCTCCATGGTCGCCATTGGATTAGTGGTTGTGTTCAATTATTCAGTCCCTCAAGTAAGAAAACCCGACTTCTGGGGAGTCCCATTGATGCCATGGATACCATCCGTCTCAATCTTCCTAAACATATTCCTGTTGGGAAATCTTGATGGGCCGTCTTATGCACGATTCGGTTTCTTTTCGGCTCTTGCCGTTGTTGTATATGTTGTGTATAGTGTTCATGCTAGTTTTGATGCCGAGGAGGAAGGGATTTTAAGCAGAAAGAACGATGAAATGATGAAGGAACCTATTGAGCTTGAGGACCTGAGTCTGAAAGTGCAAAAAGAATCAATTCTTTTTGCTTGACTTTTATTTTGTGTTGATAGGGATTAGTACCATCAAATTTATCATCTAACAACTTGACATGATAAAAACAAAATTAATATTATAGGAATCATGTTATGTTATCATATGATAAGTTTGTTGCTATTTATAGTAAGACATAAAATAGTGTGTGCGTATGGGCATGTGGATGAAGGTGTTGAAACTGTGGATTTTGGCAAGCTGTACAGTGGTAAAAGTTGGGTTGAGTGAATGCAATAGAATTGGTTCCTTTGCCAAATACTCTACCAATATTAATACCATTTATGTAAAAGGGTCTTTTATTCAACGGTATTCAGAACTTTTGAGAGGTTAAAAGTTCTCAAAAGTTCAAATAAGAACGTCTGTTAAGACATAAATTTTGTCTTGATTTGGTCTTGTTTTCACTGTCCCACAAGGTTAAAAAGGTTTGAAATCTTAAGTAAAGCATCTTTGGTTATTAATGGGAACTTTGAAGAGCTTTTCTATTTGTCAAAATGGTTTTCATCAATCAATTGCCTTGAAGTGCTTTATCACGTCATGAAATGTAATAATCTGGCTGATTCAACTTCCATTAGTACATGGGCATTCCACATTCTCTCCTCATCCAAGTAACCAAATCATTTGAAAGAAGAGCCACCATCCATCAAACTAAACCAACTTTCCGCCAACTCTCCATATACAAATCCTTGTCTTCTCTAGCCCTAGAGCCGTGTTTGCAGGGCCGGTCCTAAAAAATTTTATGCCCTGTACGAAAATAATAAAAATGCCCTTAAGTCTATATTTTTAAGTCAACAAAACATGCGATTTTTTAAAGAGTTTAGAACCTATTCAAGCTAAGTATCTTATTCTTATGTTGATTTTTTATTAATTATATAAAAAAAAAAACAATATGGGAAGGGGGGATACAAAAACCAAAACCCTAAATACAAAATATTAAAAGGATAAATTATGGATTAAGATCATGCTTTCTTCTTTTCCAGCTTTCCCTTTTTCCAAATTGAAATTAATAAAATAGAAACTTTATTTCAATATATGAGACTTAAAAAACAAGGAAAACTCTAATTAGTTTTTAACTAAAATAGTAAATCACATCCAAATTAATGTTATAGGAAACAAAAAGTAAAACTCAAAAGTTACAGGTAACGACTAAAGGCTAAGAGCTTCTCTGTTAGCAACTTAATAAGTTTAATGAAACTAACAACTTATTCGCTCAACTATGTATGATTGTTTCATACTGGCTTAATGATATAGAAAGTGACTTATATAGTAAGCTTCTAGAGGGAGTTTTATATAGAAAGCCAAGTTTTTTTCTTCAAATATGTACCTTCCAACTAAAAAAATGCTCCTTACATATGCGAAAAACTCTCCCAAACAAAAACTTTTCCAACTTTCAAAATTTTTCTTATGATGTGCATTCAATATTCATCACTACTAGGCCTTGGGTCTGTTTTTATAGTTAAAAGCTCAGTTGTCTAATTCCCAAATTATTAAAGTCAAAACTAGTAATAAATGACAACTTGACGACCCTTTAGACTTTGATGACCTGTGCGACTTGAACTACGACCACCGACCTTTCTCACTATTCTCCCGATCTAAACCCATTGACCGACCACCAACTAAAACCGCAGTCTCTTCTCCTCTTTGTATTGATATGAACGAGAGATAGGTTGAAGGTTTTCCCAGGGACGTTTCACACGACCGGTGTAACCTCTATCATCGGCAAAAATCCTTCACTCCCCTTCCCCTCCGGTGACCTCTATCCCTCTCCTCACCAGCCAAACCACCTTCAAAACCCTTTTCCAGCCAAGATATCATTTCAAATCCCCCCAATGGTTTCAATCGGAATCACATGGACCAAGAAGAAGAAGAAACATAAGAATCATAACAGATAGAGATGATGGTGACAGTTGTTGCAAAAACAGAGCAAAGGAAAAGCATTAAAAGTTAAAACCTTAAAATCTAATCATTACAGTAATGGTTAATGGTTTCTTATCTTCATCCATGTTGCTTCAATCACAAAGCATAAGTTTTTGTTGTTGGATCTTCGAACCAATGGCGGACGCAGAAAAATATATTGTAGGGGGCACAAAATCAATGGTTTAGTAACATTTTTATTTGCCTACAAAATTAACCTAAAATTTGACATTTCCGTTTGATTTGCCTAATTGCCTACAAAATTACCTACAAAATTAACCAACAAAATTAACCTAAAGCATTTACCAATTACCACAAA